AACCTGAATATTGTCTTAATGTCTTTGTCTGCACAAGGTATTTTTAGCCCGTCTTTGATGAGTGTTATTCTTTTCTGTCTGCCGAAATGTTAGGATTAACACATTTAAAATTCTCCTTACTAAATTTTTCTATAAATTGTTCAATTTATTGAAAATAAAATTATTTTCCGAGTTCATTATGAAAATTTCATAAAACTGTTGATATAATATATCAATGGTCTTATTTCGATTTATATATTTATATATAGAATAATATGCTGTGTTACTATGATAGCTCAGATGTTGGCGTTAAAGATCGGTACATCGCCATACTATGTAACAATGATTTCGATTAAAGGCTAGTTGATATTTTTTTAATCATAAAAATGAATGCAAATAATTAATTTAATGTTTGTTTTTATTTTTAGATTGTTTCACTGAATTTCCCATCAAAAGTGCGGCAAGCGCAGAAATAATTGATATCCTTAAAAAATCGTATTTGGACGGTAATTACACAACCAAATGGACTCCTCTAAAAATTTATAAACTTAGCAATCATAATTTAAATCAACTGTTTGATGGTAGGTTTCATATCGGCTTCCAAATTTGAATGAATTTTTAAAACTTAAATATTACTCATTTATTTTTATCATTCTAATCTAAAATTAGTATCTTAGTAAGAGTAAGTAACAAAAGGCTGAAAGGAGGGCTACTTACCAGTGGTGTGACCGTACCTTATTTTATTTTATTTGGTCATTTTTTATTATCTTGTTATTGTTTATGATCATTGCTTTTGCAGTACTGTCAGAGCAATTCATTGAGCAAAGTGCTGATTTAAATAGGGCAATTAGACTATTTAATAATGACTATTATTTTAGCATTTAGAAATGGATGTGATAATATGATATGAAGAACATTTGCTTGTGATAAGATATATTACTCTTGCATGATTATGAAATGACTTGAATAAAGAGATGACCCTGCTGTTCTGCAAAATTATTTGTCATTAGCATGCACATAGATAGGATAAGGATTAACTTGATTATGACTAACTGAATTTTACAGCACAATTATAAGAATTCAGTCTGCATGTCCATGGCCCCCATAGATTGAATATTTTTTTTATCTAAACATTTTGTTTATATGTATATTCAAACATAACAACATGGAAAGCAAACTAGTGATGTGCACCATTTTATTTTATATGCATCCTTAAAACATACAAGTTCATATTGCCATGTTCCAACAAATTTCAAGAAAATCACTAATTTTTATGTTTAGTTTACCATACATTGAAAAAATTGACTTATAAGTTTCATAATTAACTTAAATAAACTTGAAAATTACTGTAAAATCATTGTTAGAAAAACCGAAAAGCTTTGCTGTAAAAAATGTTGTGATGTTTATTAACTATTTGTACTAATATATGTGTGTGTTTGTTTGTGTGTGTGTATATATGTATGTATATCTCTGCTTGTCTTTGTGCATGCGTGTGTGTGTGCATTTATGCAAATAGATTGCCACATTGGTCTCATGCAATTTATATATTCTTTCTTTTGTTTTGTTCATTAGATAAAGTTGAGGAATTCAGAAGAGGTGGTTGTAGAGATATTGAGCTTGACAGCAAATTTGGATTCACTGTTGAAAATGATACTGGCAATTTATTATTGACGGTTCAAAATGGATTGTCAACAAAGGAATCAGACTATAACACTATTGGCTACAATAATATGGGCATTTACTTGTGCAAGCATGCTGATGTTTGCATTCAGCACACAATGGTCAAAACAACTGGTTGTGATGTCATAAAACTTGTCCTTTGCAAGGTATGTTACTTGTTAACTAGAAGCATGTTTAGAATATCAAAAATTATTTAAATTAATTTTTTGTTGATATTTAGAGTCATTTATTTGTACATATTTTATCCTTCAGATCTCTGACAAAAGTATCAATCATTATGTTTTTGTTAGGGTTGCAAAATCAAATATATGAAGTTAAATAACATCATGTGCCTTTCATTAACCTGCATCTTCATTTCCACTTGTTATCATTTAGCATACTACATGATATCTTTCACTTAATTGTTGGTCAAGTGTTAGACCAAATTTGGAGATCCATTCTGGATATGCTCTAACTAAATATTTTTGTATCAATTTAATTTTTTGTAATCACATCTCTGGAAAAATGATTGTGATTCTTTTAAGTTTTTAAAAACCTGTACAAATTTCTATTCCAGGGCAAATTCTGATTTGAGTCAATATCAGAATTACAACAGTGATGCATAAAAAAATGTGATTTCATAGCATGATGATTAACTGTTATCAGAGCATGGAATGTTTAAGATAAATTTTAACTTGCACATGAAAAATTTAGTACTACGTTGAACTAATGATGACGGTTTTTGGAAATCTTATAAATATATCTGACAATTTACCATTAGACAATTATATATTTTTATAACAGTTTACATTCCTGGTTCGATCCATTTCTGCATTTGGCTATTTTAAACAATTGCTGTTTTCCTAGGTATACCCACTACTTTTGTCTTTAAATAGCAAGAAATTTAGCATCCTGGCTTCAATACTGCAAACTTTACTTCAGGGTAGTTGGCAGTTGGCTACATTCCTTCTTTTGGAGAACTTTTCAAACTCATGCAAATTCTAATGGGCCATGATTTGAAACAAAGCACAATGAAAACTGCTAGAACTGTTTCAAAATTATTCAAAAATATAATAATGTAAAATGACCTTTGTTTATGTTATAATAGAATTGATGTTGAATCTTTTAATAATTAATATTCAATAAAAATGAGAAATTTGGTTTTCTAAATTTGGTTTTCTAGCGGGGAAATCAACAATTGATGCAATTCACATCCTTCGGCAACTGCAAGAGAAGTACCTCGCAAAGCATCAACTACTATCACACATTATTGTAGACCTTGAAAAAGCATTTGATCGAGTTTCCCATCAAGCAATCAGATGGAGTCTACGTCGACAACTCATTCCAGAATATCTTCGACTTGTGATGGAAATGTATACGAATACTAAGACTCTTGTCAGCACAACGGTTGGAAACACAGATGCATTTGACATCGGCATTGGAGTTCACCAAGGCTCCATTCTCAGTCCACTGTTATTTATAACTGTGATGGAAGAAATCACAAAACCAATACGCACTGGTGACATTTGGAATCTAATATATGCTGATGATATCGTTTAACAGCCACGTCTGAGCAGAATGCAGCACAGATGTTTGAAGATTGGAATACCAGACTCGCCGATCATGGATTCAAAGTCAACATCAGCAAAACCAAAGCAATGAACACTGGTGAACCCATCCAATCCACAGCTACTGGACGATGGCCCTGTTCAGTTTGTAAAGCTGGTGTAGGTAACAATTCAATCAAGTGTCAGCAGTGTAACCAGTGGTGTCACAAACGTTGTTCAAAAATAATTAGTACTTTATCTAAAGTGTCCAATTTTGTTTGTCCTGCTTGCATCAATCCACAACAACAAATTCGAAATAGCGCTGTTTTTGAAGCCATTAAAATAGAGAAAGTCACATCGTTTCAATATCTAGGGGATGTTCTGGATTGTACTGGATTGTACTGGAACTGAAGCTGCCGTTCGAGCACGCATACGTGCAGCCTGGAATAAATGGCATCTCCTTGCCTCTATATTGATGCGGCGTGACATCCCACTACCACTACGATCAAGACTTTATAAATCTGTGATACGTCCGGTGTTGTTATATGGTGCAGAAACATGGCCAATGACAACCAAACTGGAACAACTTCAACGAACCGACATGAAAATGCTCCGATGGATGCAACGAATTAGTCTGAAGGACCACATCAAATCTACCGAAATTCTGCGTCGTGCTGGTTTAGATGATATAAAGGAAGAATGCCGGCAACACCGTCTGCGGTGGTTTGGTCATGTCAAACGAAGTGAAAACAGTGCCATAACTTCTCTTGCAGATGTTGAAGTACCTGGCACACGTCCCAAAGGCCGTCCAGAGAAGTCCTGGTCGCAAACAATCGAGCGAGACAGGAAAGCTCTAAATTTAAATGAAATGGATACAACTGATCGTCTAATTTGGCGCAGAAGGTTGATGGCAAAGAAAACAACGTCCTACCTCGGGAAACCGGGTCTCTGGACGCAAAACGAAGATTGATTGAAAAAGAAATTAATTTTATTGTTTTTTTTTTTCAATTAAATAGTTTGCTTGTCCTTCTTAGCTGTTATATCTGCAGGCTTATTAGATTTTATTTTTTCGTGACTAATTTTTTAATGCTCATTTCAGTATGTGACAGGTAAGGTGACAACAGCAATACCTCGAACAGCTACTGTTGGAGAGTTCATTGAACCCACTGCTGGCTTCAGTGCTCACATTTCTGTCATCCAACCATCTATCAAAGACTCTCTGCAATCTCAGTATGATAGGTCACAGGTTAGCGATTTGTTCTTGTAAGTTTTTATTTTTCATATTTGGATTTGCCATATATACAATGCATTTTTATTGCACGTTGTTCACTGTTATGGTTTTTTAATTATATTATCAGTTCAGTCAGTTGGGCATTTTCATAAATTTCTCATCAAACATTTCTTGCAGGTTTATCTTTATGAGATCAATAATTCACAGCAGCCTGTAGTTTACCCTCGCCATGTTCTTCCCTATGCTCTCATCATTCTTACTCTTAATTCCTCAGCTCCTCCTCATTTAGAAAATGATCTTGTTAAAATATTTTCTGATGTCAACAAAAAGAATTCCAAGCCAGACATATTTGCTAACCCAAAATTGCAACAAGTAATAAACCAAATAAATGCTAAAGGTCCACCGGAGTTGTTGGGTTTACAGGCGGTACAGAATGTGACAGATGTTCTACCTATTTCTGTTATTGGAATTGGAGCAACATTACAAACAAAAGTTACAAAAAGTTCCGTTGTTAACAACACTTTATTGAGCTCCTCTGAAAATATGCAACTCCAAAAAGTTATCAATCAGCTAAATGCAAAATACGATTCTGAAAGTGGTAACTCTGAGAACAACTTGCTTGTCAATGAAGCTCAATTAGTGAATAAGAATAGTTTTAATAGTGACCAACTGTCAACAATAATTTCATTGGACGATTACATTGCTAATACTGGTAGTAATAAACTTCGCCAACAAACACAGCAAATAGATATTTTGACAGCTGGTCATGCCAATCTTCTGCAGTACGCTAAGCATGAGCTTACTCCTTATCAAACACTTAATCTCATTTCAGCAGGTTCAGGACAATTCGGCTTCCCTAACAGCACTCAAGCCCCAACATCAGACATTAATCAGTTGATAGCTGGGTATTCGCAGCTACAAGGAGTTTCATTGCCAGTGCCCACTATGATCGCCCTGGATTCACCTGCAACCGCTATTTTTGGTCAAAATTCTGGAGCCAATGCATTATATCAACAAGAATTAATTCCGATTGATTACTTGTCTGCAGTGTCATCTCCATCATTAGTTTCAAGAAATGTGTCTGCATCTGTGGGTTTGCCGGCTTTTTATAATGATCAGTCACTTGGTTATTCAGTTGTTGCTGGCGGTGGTAATCTCAAAAGATCTTATGTTGGAGACGGCGCAAACACATCTGGTCTTGTCATTGATAAAAGAGCTCGTTTGGTGTAAGGAAAACATTCTTTTTCATTGTTACCTTTTCATAATTGATATTTTGTTCAGAAAACTTTCAAATGTTTTTTTATTTAGAAAGTTATTGATCAAAATTTTCTTAAAAATGTGGTTATCTAGTTAATTTTTCTTCAAACTTGCTTATGTTTTGTTTTTATTATCTAGTCTCATTTGAAATGAAAATGATGGATGATGACGTCTTAGACAATGTTATTTATTTGGTTTGTATTTTAATGCTGATTAACTGTTAGTGCACATTTATTCATGTATGTATGTATGTGTGTTTATGTTTTTATTTATATATTGATACATTCCCACCTTTGATTGAATGCAAACTAGTCAGCATATTAAATTCATTCCTTTAATAGCCGCAATTTTTGAATTATGTTTTTAATGCGTATATATATATATATATATATATATATATATATATATATATATATATATATATATATATATGTTGAGACTGAAATTTTTTTAATTTATATTTTTTGAAAAACTGAATAATGTTATGATTTATTTTTTGCCGTTGATGTTATTATATTAAATAAATCAGATGAACACGTCTTGATTGATTTTCTGTGGCGAACAGAGCTTTGTTTAAATTAAATTTAAATTAAGGTAGTTGTCCTACAGTGGCTTATTAAAAGATTAAAAATTGGGCGTCGGATTAATGTACGTCATGCAAGAAATGTACTTCATTGATTTATTAATAGTGTTATAATACTCGCTGTCGTAACCGATTTACGATGCGACGGGTTCAAATCTTCGATTGAATAAAATATTCCAAACAGTTATTAAACTTTATTTACAGAAGAAATCAACTATTATTGTTTATTAAACTTTATTTACAGAAGAAATCAACTAATTGTTTATTTCCAGTAAATTCGCACTAACGCAACAATTAACTTTTAAATCTTTCAAAATCCATCGCTATGACAAACAAATCAAATATCGCTTTAAATAATTCACCGAATCGCTATTCACAAAATCACGAATTTCACTAATCACGAATATCACTAATCTTCTTGCGACGTGCGCTTATATACTCTTCGCAAGCGTCGTTTCTAGATTCTTCTCGATGGTCCGATTCTAGCATACTCTAGAATGCTCCAGTCACTAGAACATTCTGGAATACGCTAGAATCTAGTGCGTTCGGTAGCAAGGTTATAACAATAGGTTAATTGTTAATTAATTTTTTAGTGATATGGTAGATAATTTATTTATATTTATTTTCTTTATATAATTTAACGAAGGTAATGGTGAGTGGGGAAGGTGGGGATCGATAAGTAAAATAGACCCCTGTGTGGTAGGTGACAGGAGAGTGAAGGCTAACTCGGTATTGTGTATAGGATGTCAGAAGTGGGTGCATAAGAGATGTAGTGGTGTGAGGGGGGCACTGAAAAAGGTGGAAGGCACGTTCAAATGTAAGAAATGTGTTCATGGTGTGATTAATAGGACGGACGCAAGGACGGGGTTGAGTGATGGTATTGAAAGAGTGGAAAGCTTTGTTTACTTAGGGGGTGTGATTAATAGGACGGACGCAAGGACGGGGTTGAGTGGTGGTATTGAAAGAGTGGAAAGCTTTGTTTACTTAGGGGATAAGCTGAACGCGGATGGAAGATGTTTGAGCACTGTTACGGCTAGAGTTCGTGTAGGATGGATGAAATTTAGGGAACTGGGTGGGGTGTTGTGTTGAAAGAAATGGTCAGTGAAGATGAAAGGGAGGGTATATAAAGCATGTGATTTCGATGATGGGACTGAATGAAAACATTGTAACATTGATAAGGAGATCGAGATTGCGGTGGTATGGACATGTGTTGAGAAGAGATGAAAGGGTCGGGATTAGGCGAGCGTTGGAGTTCGAGGTTGAAGGAGTGGTAGGAAGGGGTCGTCCGCGATTAGGATGGAGAGAGCAGGTGGAGAAGGACAGAGTGAAAGCGGGGTTGCGTGATATTGAGGCGAGTGACAGATGTGGATCGCGTCGAGGGGTATTTCGGTTTCATCATAGGTAGCCAAACGGCAACCCCCGATCTCAGGGAAAATGTCGTCTAAACGTGTGTTGTTGTATGGTAGATAATTTATTTCCAAAACTTAGACTCGTGTGGTAGTCCATGAACAACACGTATTAAACTTAAAAAAACGCTATCAGAAAGATGATCGCACGAATGTTTTTTTTTTCAAATTAAAAATCAAAACAATGGTAAAATAAAAGCGCAAAGAGGTTCAAAACTGATGAAGGCGACAGGTGCCCGATGCAGCAAACAAAGTCGGTCGGTGCCCCTCTACCTGCCAATAATGATTGTAATCAATATTTACATAACTACTTAAGATAAAGAAAAGGCATCATTAAGCAATATGAAACAGATATACCGAACAATCTATCGCGGCAGTCGTATTTATCCTCCTGCAAAAAATACTCTTCGAGATTTTGTGGTTATCAATAACATAATTGAAAATATTTTCAACAGTTCCTTGTCTGCACTAAGCAACGTTAAGTCAGACAAATGATCATGTCCTATTTAAGCTCTTAAATACATCGAGAAAGTTGATATTAACCTTAGTTTGATGAACGAACGTTTACAGCTTGCAGTTGCAGCATTTATCAGCATAAGTTGTGGGTTTGGATATGTCATTTCCATACGAAATAATGTATGTTCAAGTAGACTGCTTGAAGCCGCATTCGGTCAAGTTGTCAGCTGCAGTCACGATTTCTACATTTTAATATCTATTTCATAAAAACTAGCCAGTGTGGCATTGCTGTTAAAAATCATTTGAGTTTTGGTAGCAACAATTATCTAATCAAAAAGAAAACCAAACTTCCTATCTGATATCTTCTCCTGGCCAAAAATTGGCACTGGCATATGCCTCTATTGTCTTTTGTCTACAGAAAAATCTATCAGTACACAGGTTGATTATTCCAAAATCCATCCAATGTCTTTTTATACGTGTTGATAGATGTAGAGCTAACCACAATTAGGGAGGCTGTTCCATACATCCACCACTCTTTCTGTGAGACAAAACTTTCTGATGTCATAGTGCGGTTTGTGACTAAAAAATCTTGTAGTTATTGCATCTAGTTATATTAAACTGGCTCAGTTTGAAATCAGGTGTAACCTAAGCATCATGCATGCCATGTTTATACTTCTACCATATATCCTCTATATCTACGATAATTTAATGTTGGCAGTTTCAAGAGCCCCAGTCTCTCATCAAACCCAAGCTATTGACCCCAACCTTCACTAAGTTTGTTGCTGTTTTTTTGTACCTTCTCTATCGAATCAATTAAATTTTTCTTTTATGGACACCCGGCCGAGGCAGCATATTCCAAATGACTACGTACAAAACTTTTGTATAACAGTAATATTATTGTATTAACATAACATTTAAACATTGAGCGTAGATTAAAATCCATGTGCTCATATCTAATATGTGATAATAATTTAAATGTCCAAAAAACAATAATAATATGAAATGGTATTAAAAAAATAAAATAAAAAAAACAAATAAATTCACTAATAATAACAACAACAATAAAAATAATCTACAGTACCATATTTCTAACAAAATAATCGAATATATATAGATGCAATCCAACGTATAGTCCTCATCGCCGGTGCCTATGACTACCAATTTATCCATCACACCATCCGTCACTTCATCCCGGCCATCACCAATCCAACTTCACAACATCGTTCACTGCAGACAAGCCTCGTAGCTACACCATCCTTGTCGACCCTGAAAACTATTAGAACTAAATGTAGTTAGTTTCAAATTAGTTAATTTAACACCTACCGGTGTTGAGAATATATGCCAAAATCTTAGAATTATAGACGGTCATTCTCTTACCTAATTATTAACATAATGAAGTTTCAAATGCAGAAAACAAACAAATAAAACAGAACGAACACACCCGCCCAATTAACAACTTCACAATTGACCGGTGCGTATCCTGTCGGAATCGACACTACCAATCAATACTAAAAATAGCCACACGAGTGTTATTATTAACAATAACATTGTTATTATTATTATTATTATTATTATTCACTCTTTTGACATTCCTCAGAGGATAGTACTGTGATTAAATGCTTTGTTGAACAAATAACTTTTTAACTATCTTCTTAAATCTTTTTCTGGAACAATTTGCTTCAATCTTGTTGAGAGATCATTCCATACCTTGGGCAAAGCAACCTGCACATATCTGTCACCCAGTTTTGTCCTGGTCCTAGAATTTACCACCATTTCTGACGAAACCGAACGCAACGCATGTCCCACATCAACTTCAGTTCTTTTGCGAAAAACCTCCTTCAGATATTCTGGGCCACTACCATGTACGCAACCATGAGCCACCACGGCCATCTTAAACTTTAACCGTTCCCTGATCGATAGCCAGTATAGTCTTTCCAACCACTTTGTAATGTGATCACGTCTACTTAGACCAATGACCAATCTGGCGGCAGTATTTTGAATTCGTTGAACTTTATTTACTATCCCTACACCAGCACCATACAGCAGCGAATTGCAATAGTCTAATCTAGACAGTACAAAAGTCACCACCAGGCTAGTAAAAATAACAACTGAAAGATATTTCTTGACCAGATACAATCTTCGTAGCTGAAGAAAGCAGATAGCATTGAGTTTCGCGACATGAGGCAACATGGTCATATCACTGTCAAACGTCACACCCAAGTTTTTGACTTTGTCAGCCGAGATCAATCTATTACCAAATATATCAAAAGTCATACCTCCTAATGCAAATAAAGCTTTCTTAAAACCAAACCATATCAACTCTGTCTTGTCTGGGTCAAGCTTCAAACGATTCAATTTTAACCAATTGTTCACATCAATAATACACCTAATTAAACTACAAAAAATAGCTTGAGCATTTTTAATCGGGCCTGCAAAATAGATTTGAAGGTCATCCGCATACATGTGAACCCCCAGACCATGATCATAAATCAAAGCCGGTAAACCAGACACGTACATAAGAAATAATATCGGACCCAGTACCGATTCCTGTGGTACACCCGTTTGCATTTCCATCTCATCAGACACCAATCCACCAAAACATACTTTTTGTGCACGACCCGTCAAATATGAAGCGAACCAATCAAGCACCACACCACCAATACCAAACGAGGCCGATAATCTTTTTAAAAGCACCGCATGATCAACTGTGTCAAATGCAGAACTGAGATCCAAAAGCGCCAACAATGCTACATTACCATTATCAACTTGTTTTACTATATCACCAAACACCTTTAGAAGAGCAGTTTCCGTAGGTGAACCAGGTCTGTCAGCCGACTGAACCGACGGCAAGAGTCTATGGGTGGATAAATGACCCAGCAAACGAGTCAGCACTAGACGTTCAAAGACCTTTGAAACAAAATGTAGATTAGAGACAGGTCTATAATTATTGCTTGTGTTTTTATACAGACCATTTTACTTCAGCAGCGGGGTGATAATGGCTGATTTTAGTTCTCGTGAAAATACCCCAGTTTTGAATGATGAATTTATCCATAGACAGAAAAATGGCACCAAACAATTCATGAATTTTATTAAAATTTTAGTATGGATGGGTCCAAGGCACACACTGTTGTTTTAGATCCCACAAATGCTGATTTAACCTCATCTTCCGTACACAGAACTTGTCACACTGACTAATTGTGTGCTCTGGATCGTTTTGTAACGTTTCTTCTCTGATAGCTTTTATCTTATTCACAAATAACCTCATCATATCATCAGCCATCAACGATGAACACTCGGTTCATTGCTGCTCGTTGCCCAGTAGACGATTCAACAAATTCCATAAATTTTTTTGGTTACGTCTACTATTGGCAACCTTACTCATCCAGAATAATCGCATTTTCATATCATAAAGATCATGGAGTTTGGTTAATTGTTTTCTCCAAGACTCTATGTCAGAAGTAGTCCGAGTTCGTCTGAAAATTCTATCACATCGCCTTGCACAACGTCTTTCATGGAAACAACTGTCATTTAACCATGGAGCAGATTTTTTTTTACCACCAGCGACCATTTTTAAAAAAGCCAAATGCTTTGTAATTTCGGAAAATGTCGATGTATGTATTTCACAGAAATCATCTTGGGACGCTGAGACCAAGTTCTCAAGATTTGAGCATAGTGGAGACGACTTCAACATTGACATCACATCTGAGTCTTTGACTCTTCTACAATCGCGGTAGTATCTGACCTCATCATCATCTTTAATGCGCCTCTGCATCGTCATCATGAACTCTGAAACTACCAAAGAATGGTCTGATACCATCGGTGGCTGCACCCTTACCTCTAAAACTGTCATATTACCATTAACCAAAACCAAATCCAAAATGTTGCCCGAAACGTAGATAGGTTGGTGAATTAACCAGCTGAACCAGACCAAAGAAGGAACCTAGCTCCATAAAGTTGGATGCTAATTGATTGTCATTATTGTTTATGGGGATGTTGAAATCTTTGGAAATCAAAAGACTCTGTCCCCTTAGGCACACCATGAACAAAAAATTGAAAATTTCATCTATAAATCGTTCTCCCGAAGCAACTGATCCTGGTCGGTAGATTGCCATACTCAGCATTTGAGCTGACCTTATTTTAATTAAACAGGCTAGTGCCTCAAATGTTTCAAATCGTCGGCCGAGTTCATAATGCTTCAACTTGAACTTTACTTCATTATAAATTAATGCCAAACCACCACCTTTTCTCACCTGGCCGTCTAAATTTGTGCGTGGTGCATCTAAATGTGAAAACGAGCAAGGAATGCACATTTGCAGTGCATAGTCATTATGAGATTTATGCCAGGTTTCAGTAAATATCAACATATCTGGCTTATCATCGTCAATTGATAAAATATATAATATATATAAATTGAGCCAATAGTTTTTTAGACGTCGTCTGCAAAGCTGATTATCATGGGATTTCATCGAAAAATCTGGATCCAACACAACATTAAGATTTATATTGGGTTTTTTTAACATTTAATTTAAGTTTATTTGCCGTCATCCAATGGCCAACTGCGTTAACTGTATTTGTGACGACCGCGGACAGATCATGTAGGGAGTTTGTGGACTCAAATCCATACAGTTGGATGTCATCGGCAAACAGATGGCAGTGTATACCAAATTTTTCCACCACGTTGTCAATAGTATAATATGTACAGCAGTGGGCCAAGAACCGAGCCCTGCGGAACGCCACAAATTAATTCCAAAGATGCTGTATCTAAACCATCACTACCAACGCTGACAATTTGCATTCTCCTCACCAAATATGACTGAAACCACTTTAAAGCATCACCTGTGATACCATGTATTTCACCATACCATAGCTTTCAGTATCTTATGATACCATAAGATACTGAAAGCCGTTTTAGCAAGATATCATGATCCACAGTATCAAAAGCTGCACTAACATCAAATATCGCGAGCATTGTCACATTTCCCATATTAACAGCATCTCAAATATCAGAAACTATCTTGAGAACAGCCGTTTCAGTTGAATGAGCTCGACTAAAACCTGGCTGAACTTTGGGTAGCAGTGAATTTTTGCTGAGGTAGAGTGAATTTTTGCTTAGGTAGACGGAGAGTTGACGAGCGACAATTTTTTCAACGACTTTTGAGACAAAAGTGAGATTTGATATCGGCCTATAGTTGCTCGCGACATCAGGCGCCAATCCAGCCTTTTTCAACATTGGTTTCACTATAGCTGTTTTTGAGAAATGAGCATAAACGACATGAGCAGACATTTATTTATTGAATGACAAAATGACAAAGGAAAGGCAATAACAGATCTTTTACGAGAGATGTTGGAATCGGATCAAGACTGCAGGATTTATTTGTCGATGAATGAATTATTTTTTCTAACTCTTCAGAGGTAACACCTTCAAAACGGTCAAAACGGAAATTTGTAGGAGTAGAATCCAGAGAGTAATTTTCCTCAATAGTGTCTTTGCCCGTTTGTTGGAAGTTGCTTTTTAAAACAACCAGCATTCTATAGGCTTTCTTAAATTTTAACATGGTTGGCTATGCAAGATTCAACTTTCCATTAACCATTACTCCAATGTCTTTCATACAATTCTCATGACCAAGAAATTCATTTCCGTGTTTGTAATTATAGAGTTAGCTTGAAGTTGTGTCCCCTTGTACTATCATCGTGTGCAAATATTAAAGTATGGACAACGTCGGCAGGGAAATGACCATGAATTATTCTACATTGCAAAAAAGGTTTTCCCTTCGAAGTTTGTAGGTCAGAGATGGCAGCTCCAATTTCCTCAATCGGTCCATGTTTGGAAGACTTTGCAAAATAAGGAATAATAATAATGTGCTATAAAGGGTTATTAGCATATCACGTATACGGAAGCTATCGGAATTCATCTTCGATATACCGCTTCTTGGGCATAACAAAAATACTTTTTTAAAAAATCCGACAAAATGTAAAACGATTGAACTCGGTATATTAATATTTGCTCTGCACAGCCCTTAAATTTATCCACCTACCGAGCATTTAGTTAGATATGCGTTAGTGACCTTCTGCCAGCGTAATATTGCGCACATGTTCTAGATCGCCTGATTCTCTTTCATCATCTTGTGTTTATCTCAAAATCTCTCTCAGAATCATCAAAATGCTCTCAATAACGAAAATTTCTCCTTTTTTTGCTAAAACGCTTAATGGAGGTTGTTCGGCAACAAATGTTTTCAAGAAAGTTAGTTTTTTAACTTTGTTTTTGATAATAATTAATTACAATAAAATAAGTGACGCTTATATTTCGAAACGTAGAATAGGAAAATGCTGTAAAGTAAAAGTATCAATCTTTGTAATCGAAATTTTGAGTTGATATTTGGCTGCCTATAAGGCAATGAGGCTGTCAAATTTTTCTCTTTTTTTATGGTAATTAATTTAATATATAAATAATTATATAATAAACTAAAAAATGTTTCATGCTGCTGTTGCATCATCTTGAATTTTAATATGTAGTAACATAATTAAATTTAATATCATTAATTCATTTATTTTATCTTTAGTTAGACCTATGTTGCATAAATTTATGTAAATGTTAAAATAAAAGTTAAATGGCCATAAATTACCATATCTGGTTCTGCTGTAATTGGCTATGTGTGCAGTGAAATTAATTATTAAATTATTTGTCAGTTTGAGTCCGTAAGTCTAACATATAATTGATGGTAATTGGGTATTTTATTAGGATCATAATGAATGATTTAATTCTTCATCAGACAACTTCTTTTCTTTGGCAATAAAAATCTTCTCTGATCTCGAGTTAATTTTTGTTCATGTATTTTTATGAAAATATATTTGGGAAATTTTCTCTCCAGATGTCATAAAAATTTACAATTACTCCAACACTCTTCATTTTTTATGCAAATTACACCATTATACTGATCCTTGGTATATTTTTGTCTTTTTTCTTTAGTATTATCTTTTTGTATGGTCTTGCATTCATTTTCAGTTACTTTGCCTACCAATATTGTCCAATTTTTAGAATCATTTACCATTATTGTTTCATTATTCATCTATTTTATTATTATTGTTATTATTACATAAATAATTTTTGCAATTTTAAAAATAAAAACTACACAAAATTGATTCTAAATAAAACAATAAAACAATTATTAAAATCTTTAAATTGAAATGTGATTTTAATGGACTTTTAATTCAATTTTAAATTTCATTTTCCAGTTGACTCCTGTCTGTTCAATCAACCGACTTGAGGCTAACAAGAAACGTTTCATGTTAGTTTTTTAAGAGTAGATTAAAAATTTTACGTGAAATTTGTGATTGGATGCTTCATTTTTAAGTAATAATGACATTGAACATTTAGATCCTCTGAAAAAATAAAAGGGCATGTCATTGGTATTGACCTTGGTACAACCAATTCGTGTGTAGCTGTCATGGAAGGCAAAACTCCAAAAGTTTTAGAGAACAGTGAAGGAGCCAGAACTACACCTTCAGTTGTTGCATTCACTAATGATGGTGAACGATTGGTTGGCCAGCCTGCCAGAAGACAAGCAGTAACTAACTCTAAAAATACCTTGTATGCCACAAAACGTTTGATTGGACGAAGATATGATGACCCTGAAATTCAGAAGGACATGTTGGTTCTTTTCATTTTTTTACTTTTGAAGTTTAACTTGTAAATTTTTAGTAATTTGGTTTTAACATCATGGAACTGCTTAATGAATATTCACATTTATTGCTGGGGTTCATACTTTAAGTGGAAAAAAGCTTTTTTGCTTCTTGACTGAACTTAGCTTGGTATCAATTATGTATTGAAAATTAAAAAATATTGATCATCGGTCATCAGTTTTTCTAAATTTATCAGGACAAACTCCTTTGGATGGATTCGTCCCATATTGTTTAGAAAGTTGATGTTGCTAATAATATTTTGTTAGAGGATTTGAATTTTTTATTGTAACTGAGTCATGGCATGATTTTATAAATTATGATACCATATGCTTAGCTATGCCACCTAAATATGTTTATGTTGATTATTTAACGCCAAGTGATCCTACCATGGTGGTATAATAGTTTTTTTTCCAAAAGCCTTTTCGTAAAATTGAACTTCCTACTATTCAGTCATTCCAAGCAATTGCTATTTATTTTATATTGAATAAGACTAAATTTATTTTGTTGTCTATTTATCGCCTGAGTTCTATACCAGTTTCACCTTTGTTTTTTGGCGAGTTTACGATGGTCTTGGAGTACATTTCTGTTTGTGCTGATTTATTGTTGATTCTAGGAGATTTTAATATCCATGTTGAAAGGCTTAATGACAAAAAAGCTGTTGCTTTGCTGGATGTTTTTGATGCCTTTCAAGTTTGTAATTAAGTCGTTGGTCCCACTCATTTTTCTGGTGGTACACTTCATCTTGTTGTTTCGCCCACTGATCTTCTACCTAGTAAATGCACGGTTTTTCCTAGTGGTGTGAACTCTGATTATAGTTTCATTATTTGCGTCAACTCTATTGACATATCTGAATCAGTTATTAAGTTTTTTTCATCTGTCAATAATCTGGGAATCACGTTGAATCAAAATATGTCTATGGATCATCATGTCAAAAAGTTGAACATGGAATGTTTGTTTCAACTACGAAGGCTAGGACAGATCAGAAATTCGCTTGATGGGGATACATTAAAATGTCTGACAAGTGTTGTTTACATAGATTTAAACATGTTCAACATCCTCAGTTACGTTCAGATTGTCAGAATCTTCTATCCTGGCCAAAAACAGGAATTTTTCCATCGCCAAGCCATCTTCGTCAGCCTGGATTAACTCTTCAACAATTCCGTAAAGAACTAAACTCGTCTTTTTATGAATTAAACCACATGACTTAAGCAGCGCTGGGCGCTAGGATATAAATAGTAATAATAATAATAATAACAATAATAATTATTATAATGGTAAGTTTTATTTGCTTATGTATTTTTTAAGAAATAAAATGATTGATTGCAGTAAACTTTTTTAATGCAAGCATCTTTATTTAAGGCATCCACCTTTCTCTACAAGCAACGTTTTTCATTCATTTGTTATAACTTGGTTGTTATCCTCTTTTTTATTTTTACAGGAAGAACTTGTCGTACAAAATAGTAAAAGCGTCAAATGGAGATGCCTGGTTAGAAGCGCAGGGAAAAGTGTACTCACCAAGTCAAATTGGGGCTTTTGTTCTCACAAAAATGAAAGAAACAGCCGGTTAGTCGGTGGTTGAGGTCGTGCATGTTTCATACAAAACATTTTTTATACTACTTTTTAGTGCCATATTTATATCATAGTTATTTACTATAACTTGCAAGCTGCTGAAGTGCTGAGATGTTTTCAAGAATGAAAATGGATGTCTTGAATAGTTGAGTATCATAGTTTGAAGCTATCAATCTATGCATTTTATTTTGAGTGGGCCCAAATGTGAAATAACAGAAACTGACGCTTTAAATATGTATTCTAGTAAAATTACCTATTTTGGACATTTTTTTATTTAACTATAATTTTAATATAATGTATTTTATGCAAATATTTTTCTTTAATTCTCAATTTTATGACACAAACTTTAGAGAATTATTTGGGCGTCACAGTAAAGAATGCAGTCATCACTGTTCCTGCCTATTTCAATGATTCCCAAAGACAGGTATCTTAATTCTACTTTTCAGAAATAATGATCAACAGTTTACTAATTCTGCTTTTGTTATCATCAATTTTTTGTTTTTTCAACATTGCTCCCTTCTAAGGATAACAGTTTGTGACAACCAGTTCGAACATCTAATCAGCATTCAATCATCTAATCATCTAATCAGCATAGTATTGTTTTATAAAAAAGCACTGACAACTGAATATGAACTTATTTATGTATGCACACATCGACGCACGCATACGCATATATACACACACACACACATGCACACGCACACAGGCAACCAAAGATGCAGGTCAAATTGCTGGTCTCAATGTCTTAAGGGTCATCAATGAGCCTACTGCTGCTGCACTGGCTTATGGCATGGACAAAGCAGAAGATAAATTGTTAGCAGTTGATTGAACCTTTCTATGAGTGTTCATTGAATGCTGATTAGATGTTCTTCAAATGCAGATTGAATGTTTATCGGATGCTTATTGGATGTTTATTGAAGGCTGCTTGAATGTTCATAAATTTTCATCAATGCTGACTGAATGTTATTGAATGTCATCACACGTTATTGCTGCTTATTGGCAAAGTTTATTTGAATGAATAAATGGACTCCACAACATTTCATTTGTATAGTTGCAACTGTAGAATTATAAACTTATACATTATTTTATTGTTTAACAATTACTTGACTTATTATTGTGATTTTTGTTTTATATTGGTATTATTCCATTGATGATATTTTGAATCTTCAACCAGGATTGCTGTTTATGACTTGGGAGGTGGAACGTTTGATATTTCAATTCTTGAAATCCAGAAAGGTGTGTTTGAGGTAAAGTCAACAAATGGTGACACACTGTTAGGTGGGGAGGACTTTGACAACACACTTCTCAAATTTCTTGTTGATACGTTCAAAAAAGAGGTTTCTTTTCATTCTTTGTTGTACATGTTCACTTCTGAATTTTTTTTATCTGTAACATTAGCTGCAAGTATAACTAAAGCTCAAATTCCAGATTCTTATATTTTTAAGCCTATTAACAATAACAATGAGCAATAAATAAATAAACAGATGAATCAATAATGCGAACTGTAGCTTTTCATAGAATGCTAAACAACTATTTTATTGGGTTCAAGAATTTTATCAATTTTCACGAAGTGTTTTAGCTGAACGATTGTTTGCATCCTTATTATGTTCAGTAACATAATGTTCTCTTTTGGACTGTCTGATATTATTTCTCTTTAGCGATTGTGTCTTTAAATAGGCTCATGCCTTTTGTATATATGTTTGTTTACATGCTTCACAAAATGTAATATAATAAAATCATGCATTCTTATATATAAGTTTATATATATGTATATAAATATACATATATATATATATATATATATATATATATATATATATATAGTTATATATATATATATATACGCTTCTGAAGTCAACTCACAAGAGGCGCTGTATAAATTCTGCAATACAATAGTTATATATCAATCAATCTTCGTTTTGCGTCCAGAGACCCGGTTTTCCGAGGTAGGACGTTGTTTTCTTTGCCATCAACTTTTTGCGCCAAATTAGACGATCAGTTGTATCCATTTCATTTAAATTTAGAGCTTTCATGTCTTGCTCGATTGTTTGCGACCAGGACTTCTTTGGACGGCCTTTGGGACGTGTGCCAGGTACTTCAACATCTACAAGAAAAGTTATGGCACTGTTTCCACTTCGTTTGACATGACCAAACCACCGCAGACGGTGTTGCCGGCATTCGTCCTTTATATCATCTAAACCAGCACGACGCAGGATTTCGGTAGATTTGATGTGGTCCTTTAGACTAATTCGTTGCATCCATCGAAGCATTTTCATGTCGGTTCGTTGAAGTTGTTGTTCCAGTTTGGTTGTCATTGGCCATGTTTCTGCACCATATAACAACACCGGACGTATCACAGATTTATAAAGTCTTGATCGTAGTGGTAGTGGGATGTCACGCCACATCAATATAGAGGCAAGGAGATGCCATTTATTCCAGGCTGCACGTATGCGTGCTCGAACGGCAGCTTCAGCTGTTCCAGTACAATCCAGAACATCCCCTAGATATTGAAACGATGTGACTTTCTCTATTTTAATGGCTTCAAAAACAGTGCTATTTCGAATTTGTTGTTGTGGATTGGTGAAAGCATGACAAACAAAAATTTTTCTCGATGAATATTGCTTTTCAGCTTCCACGTTTTGATTCTCCGAGGCATTTGTTTAGACTTATGTTTTGACAGTTCGACAACCAGGTCTGCCACAAGGAGTCTATGTTGGGCGACACATGATTCGCCTGGTATAACTTTGACGTTTTTAAACAGCCTTCGGTGTGGTTGCTTGACAGCAAAGAAATCAATTTGCGTGGCTGATGGCCCACTTTTGTATGTTATGAGATGTTCCAACCTATTTCTAAAATATGTGTTCAGTAAACAAAACCCGTGACTTTCAGCAAACTCAAGGATGCGGTTGCCATCTTCATTCCGTTTTCCATAGCCAAAACCGCCATGTACGTTGTCAAAACCATCTGTTTTCTCAACAACGTGGCCATTGAGATCGCCTCCAATCAGGATTGTTTCAGATTTTGGTATTGTTGAGATGGTGTCAGAGAATGCAGTCCAGAAGTCATTTTTCATCTCTTCTGATTCGCCTGTCTGTGGTGCGTATGCAGAAAAAATAATCATTGTTTGCTTTTCTATGCGAAGCTTGATCCACATGAAACGTGAGTTAATCCTTTTAATATCCAGTACTTCTTGGGCTAGCGGTTCTCTGACAAAAATTCCAACATCATTTTTGGCCGTCTTTTGACCATTCCAGAATAGTTTATATTTTTCTTTGTCTGAGTTGACATGACAGACACCATTCGATTTCCATCGGATTTCCTGAAGGCAGCAGATGTCAATCCTTCTACGCTCGAGCATTTCTGCGATTTCCATGCTGCGGCCAGTCAGTGATCCAACATTGAGCGTTCCAAGTCTAAGTACCATAGAGGGGCCATTCTGAATTTTTCTGCAACATCCCTCCGCTATTGCATACTTCCCAGGGATTCTTGGCACCCCTTGACCACTTAAGGCCTGCTGGGGACTAGGGGCCGTTGTTTTTCTTTGTGATGGCATAGGAATAATTTGGGGAAAAGTTTTTAAATCCGGACACCCATCCTGACGACAACCACCAGTTATAAGCGGTGGGCCTAATCTTTCGCTCAAAAGCACGCAAGGCAGCTATAGTTATATATATATATATATATATATATATATATATATATATATATATATATATAATCATCTGTTCAACAATCCACAGTGAAGCTAGTGCTTCTGAGGTTCTTTTCAAGATGGCAGTTATACAAGTCATGCAATACAATACAATATATGGTTATGGGTATATATAAATGAGTATATAAATAGTATTGTATGTATCCTACCGAATTACGGGGCATTAATTAATTTAAAATTTGTCTTTTCAATTTTCCTTGTAGAATTTTATGGAAATTGTTATAAGTTATCTTTTCCGAGAGTTAGAGGCAAAACAACTTATAACTTTGCTAAAGAACTTTGCTTTGTTTAAAGAAACTATAAACACAACCTGCACCGAAGATGATTTATGAAAAAATCGAAATAAGGCCTTATCTCCATGATGAATTTGGATAACAACAGTTTCATTAAATTTTCATGATGAACTTAAATAATAATTCTATTTTCAACAAATTGGATAATTTCCAGAAAATTCTAGCAAGAAAAGTTGAAAAGACAAACTTTAAATTGATAAATGCCAACAATTCGGTAAAATTCATACAATACTGTATAAAATATACTCTCCTTCTAACATATATATATATATATATATATATGTATATACATATATTATTATTATTATTATTATTATTATTAAAACACTTAATAAGGCGCCAATTAAAATCAAAAAGTTCTCAAAAGCGCCATCCATAGCAATTAAAAAAAAAAAAAAAAAAAATAAAGAACAGTATACAATGGCAGTTATTAATAAACAGTTCAAAATCAAAATCAAAGTGCAAATAAATAAGTTTTCAATTTCTTCTTAAAATCATCCAGCTTCAAGTCTTTAGATTTCAAAAATCTTGGCAAACTGTTCCAAACAGCCGGTCCTGAAACAGCCAGATTTCTTGACGCGATCTGTAAATTGATATCCGGGACAACCAGCAAAATATTATCATCTGACCTCAGCTTCATGCCACTCATCATTACGGATTTTTCTTCTATTTTATTGATCAGATAACCTGGTAACAGACCATGTAACGCTTTATACATTATTAGGCCTATTTTGTATGTAATTCTTTTTTTAACAGTGAGCCAATGAAGACTTTCCAAAATAGGAGTTACATGATTGTATCTGAGACCACCGACAATCAACTTGGCCGCTCTGTTTGGTATGGACTGAAGAGTAGAAACATGTTTATCAGGTAACCCGTAAAAAAGGCTATTGCAGTAATCTAGTTTTGAAAGAACAAGTGCATGC